GCAAAAGAAATATAAAAACTTGAGAAACATGGGTTGTTCCTCCACTTTTTCACCTTTTGTTGTTTCCTCAAGAGAAGAGCTGGATGGTATCAATTGCCATCTGCACCCTCTGGTATGAACCTGTACCTGGTTATTAAACAAGGGAGGTTACAAAAAATGTCCCATAGCAGTTGCTCCTTCAACTTGCCCTTGAACCAACAGCAAAACTGACATCCTCAATACATCTCAGATATTTTATTCTGGAGTAACAATCTCTAATTCTCCAGTGACAACAGTGTTTTCCAATATAATCCAGTAGCTAATTAAACACCAGGTGATAATCCAACAAAAAGGTTAAAGGTCCAGTATTTGCCTTGGGTACAGTTATCCAGAGATGTCTTGCAGGTTTTCTTTTCATTCATCCACCGACAGCAATGCGCTTACGTTTGGGAAATATGAATCTATCTCTTTCCAAGTGACTTGACATACGTTTTATTTTGTAAGCAGTCCTTAGTCTAGGTTTCTGTACGCCATATTCTGGACTTCAGTCAGTATCGCTGCTGTAAAACTGCCGGAAAGGCAGTGAATCCCCCAAAGGCAGGCAGAAAGCCGGGGAGCAGTGAAAAGTCCAAAGACAACTTCCATCTTGATCACATTAGGGTTTTTGCTGACGCTGAATGCCTAAGAGTCGGGGTGGTGTAAGAGGGGCCGGGTTTTCTTTCCCCCACTCCACCCCTGCTCTCCTCCGTTCTATCCCTTTTCTCATCAGGTCCCCTCCCTGCTGGTTTTGACAGGGAGTCTGAGTCACATCCTAGGAGCCCCATCCCCCGTCTCATAACTCGCCCAGCACACTAAATGCATTTATTCACTCCAACGCCCTCTGATGTACTTTCTCTCCTCACTGTTTCAGAAATTTCCTCTCTGCTTCTTCTTTCAAAACTTTCTCTTTCCTCTTTTCAGTGGACTTTTCCTTCCTTCTTCCTTAGCTTGCTATTTCACTAGGCTGGGCAAGGCTTCCACCAGTTGGTTTTGATTAGTAACAGACAGGCTGCTTCGTAAGACCTCTGGCTATGGGCCAAGAGAGATTGCTCTAATGTTTTGGCTGTTATTTCTGAGGTGTGCTTTTTTTAAAATTGCCTTCTTGTAACTCTACAAGCATTCTTAACCAAACACAATGACACTAATGAAAAAAAACAAAGAAAGATGTCTTTACAGATACACTAATACTATAAGAATAAGTATAAAAAGTTGTACGACAACAGGGACAATGAAAAAAGTGCTGCCGACCTGATATATTTGTTTTATAGTAGAATATAGTAAGTATAGGAAGTAAAAATATATTAAAAGAACCCAAGTGCCAGTAATTCATTTTCTAATATAGTCATTTGTCTGCTGACTCAGCAGAAAGAAAAGGCAAAGCCTGAGATATTTAAGCGCGTTGTCACTGAGACAATTTAAAACAAATGTTAATCAGAAAAATGTGTCTTGTAAAACAAACAAAATATCCCACAGACTTCCACTTCCAGTGAAAAATCTCAAGAGCTCCAACCCATTCTTATTTACATTAGCACAAAAATGCACATTATAACATTCTAACAATAACAAAGTTGTGACCTTATTTTCCAAAGCTGTGACCAAATCTACTAAGACACTTTTTCAAAGCAACAGGGACAATGCAAGCACAAGAGAAAACTGGAATGAAGCCCACTCCAGCTATCCCTGCAACCCTGGCCTCTGACCTCTGGGTCATCCAGATGTGAGGTGAGGCTCTGGTTGAGTCTTTCTTTAGGGGCCTTGCTGGGAAACTGTATACTGCCGGCAAGTTGGCTCTCTAGGGACACAGATGGCCGCTCTCAAGGGGAAGGATCCAAATTCAACAAGACTCCTCTGCAGCATGTCACATGATGGGTTCTGTGGTTATGCCGAGTGCAGCGTAACAAAATGCAGATCTTCTCGGTCACAGTAGCTTCCATGTGGATATGGGTGGTGATTGAAGTGCAGAGGCCGACACGGAGCATGACTCAGGCAATCCACTAATTACCTCCTGTGGACATCCAACACGAGCCTATAATTTAAAAGGCCAGGCCTCCCCCTTCCAGTCCGACCATCCTGCACAGCCACAGGGCAACTCGTCTACGTCACAATCTGATCCACCAGCGACACTGTTCAAACTCATGTTCAATCAACAACATGTGTGAGACGAAATGCCCATCAGCTGTTTTATGTGTGAGCTGCAAGAGAACTGAAGCATTAAAATTGGAGCATTAAAACAAAACATAGCTTGAACAAGTCATGCTAGTGGCTCTGCGAGGAACAGCTGCTTTGAGGCAGCTTTGCAGCTGCATTGAGGTAAACACAAGCATGCCAACATGCTCACAATGGCTAATGTGTTTATGTTTACCAAAGCTAAATGTGCTAACATGTTGACATTAACTAAATAGCATTGAATACAAGGTACAGCTGAGGCTGATGGGAATATATATGATATATTCTATTGTCATTGTGTAGGTATTTAGTCATATACCACAAAATTGGACAACATTAAATGTTGATGGTGGTGCTAGAAGAAAAGGGATCACCAAAGTTCATCCCGAGGGGGACATGAATGTCTAAACCAAATTTCATGGCAATACATCCAGTAGTAATGAGAAATGAGACATTTCACTCAAAATCACAGAAGTCACCCTCATGCTGGAGCTAGACAATGAAGGCCTGTACAAAATATTGTCAATCCATTTAGTAGGGGTTGAAATATTTTACAGGATAAGTGAAAACTTTGACGTGCTGGTGGCACTAGAGGAAAAGGTCGGTGGATCACGAAATCAGTAGTCCGTATGTCTGTATATGCATGGTAATCCACGAAACAGTTGTTGAGATATTTCAGTCTAAACCAAAGTGGTGGAACAACCAACCAACCAAATTAATATCCCTAGTCTTGCCACTAGCAAGGCTAAAAACAATTCACTCTCAGAAAAAAACTTATTGTACAAAAGCTTTAAATGTTTGACCATAACTTTACAAAACAGTATGAGGTGACATGAACTGCTATATTCTCTGTTTTGTGGTGGTCATTTGTGTGGATGTGTCAGCAGTCTATTTTGGAATCTGTGTAAATTACTATGTGCTGTATAAGAGAGTTATTTCAGAGTTTGTGAGTATTTATTTGCCCTTTTCAGAATCATCGTTACAGGCCAGACTCTGTCTAAGTCCCACATCACAGAGGATGAGCATGACCATTCTCACAGGCATGCAGCATCATTGGTCACATGTCTAGAGCGATCACATACATGGTTAAGAAAGACCTATTCATGATTCACCCTATAATCCCCCACTGTTCAACCCCTCGACTTCTTAAGTGGAGCAGTGAGGGCCCAAAGGAAACAGCCTCACATTCCTCACTGATATAGTTTATTATTGGAAAAAATAAGCCAGTCTAAATCATGGGCATTGACGAACACACAGTGTTTGCCCATCTAGGAAAATGTAGGTGACGCTTGTGGAGAAAAAAAATACCCTGTCCCTCCTATAACTGAGTCATTTTGAGTCCCTGCACACAAAGGCTGCTTTGAGAAGATTTTGTTGCACCCTTTTTAAGGCTTCTTTAAATAACCGCTTTCTGCTGTACTTGCCTGGTAGTTATGTGATGTTGTGAAAACAGATCTTGAGTTCATTAACACTACAAAAAAAATAACTTAACAAAATGCCAGATTCTCACATGAAGATCTAAAAATGAATAACAACAAACCACACCAAGATTCTTGCAATCATGTTCCTGTCACTTGTTATGCCCTGTGGTTAACACCTCTTTTTCAAAAGCCAGTCAACTGCATTTGAGGCCTGGATGGGAACTTGAGCAATTGAGAATCGTGAATGAAACGTCCCAATGTAGATGATGCAACTTATAGTAAGAGCATTTAGAAAGAAGTTGAGGGTTGCTGTCTTAATTTAACTTTAATCATTTGTGGATTTTAACTCGCTTTGCTTGTGTGCATCTAAATGCAAGAAGTTGTCATGGGAGAAACCGAGGGGGCCTTGGCCACTGATCATGGGTTATAGTGTTTCTGCTACCGTGGGAACAGGAAGTACAAGTTATTAAGGATACAGACCATAACAATCTCCAGGCTAAAATAATTTATCTAATCTTCTTGTGAGACGATCTGTGTGTGTGTGTGTGTGTGTGTGTGTGTGTGTGTTTGCGTGGTTGTGTTGGTGTATGGTTACAACAGAATACTATAACATGTTGTTTCGTGTGTCAAATCAAATGAGACAAACTTGCGTAATCTGGGCTTAATTTTTATGATGACAGTGGAAAATACTGTTTCACACTGTGTTCACTGTGTACCATCTTGTTCTTAATTTTTTTACTACTCTGGCATGACTAAAAGGCCTTGATGACCAGCAGTGTCACAGTGAAGGACACGAAGCCATTTTAGAAGTCGCTGCTTTTACCAGAAAATAAACATCCTGGCTCACAGACAGACACTATTTGTGGGGAATAGCATTTGGCCAAAACCATTAGGGATGACTGTTTACTTCACATTAGTAAATATAATCATGTAAATACAAAATCACAAGCGCCATTCACTGGGGAGAAACATCACTGTCTGTTTAGGCTCTAATTATATTGTATATTCAAAACACGAATATCCTTCTTGTGTTGCTGCTTGTAAACATGATATGCCATTTATAAATATTTGGATAAGCTTATATATTTTAAGACATATGAAATCCATATACTTAAGCTTTTTACAACATAAGATACTAATGGAAAGAGCCTACTCCATACAAGACCTTGACGATGCCATGAAATGGAGACTTCAATGCCCCAGTAAATCCCAGTAAACTTCAAATAAAAGAAAGCCATAGCACATTTGAAGGAACTTTTTTCCTCCTCACCTCGCCTTCTTGCTCCTTTGGCTGTCGGTTCTTTTCATTCCAGACAGCCTGGATCTTCGCCCTCCAGGACACTCAGCCTCACCTCGTCACTTTTGTGACTTATATATCATCTGTCCACTTTCCAGGTCTACAGGGAGGTCGTACGGCCCAGGTCATTGAAGTTGTTTGGCATCTTCCTGGATCCATGTATGTTTACAATCTATCCACCTAATATAGTTGTTCGGGTTCTCCATATTGTAATCTTTCAATTGTTATGTCTGTCGGTTCATCCTGGAAGAGGGATCCCTCGTGTGTTGTTCTTCCTGAAGTTTCTTCCATTTTTTCCTCCGAACCAAGAGTCAATGGATAGATGCCAACATATGCTGTATATATTATAAAATCCTTTAAGACAGACTTGTGATTTTTAGTTTCGGGCTATATAAATAAAAATGACTTGACTCTTTTTCCAAATCAATCCGCCTTTATTTCCTTAACATCCTTACATCCTGTTTCAGTATGGGGGGAGGGGGGGACTAAAAAGATGCTATTTCTTAAGAGAGGATGTGTGAGTCAGGATTACATTGTTGGCAAATGTGTGAATGCAGTCTATGTTCTGCTCAGACAATCTTACTTGCATCTCAATCAGACAGTTGGCAACAACAGCTGGATTTCATCTGTGTGTACGCTGACTCAAACAAAGGCCCCATAACCCTAGAAACACGTGCACCTGAGCACATTCTCACACTTCTGTAGCCGTAAAATATGTGCAAGAATGCACACAGCCTACAGATATACATAGCACTCACGTGTACATTAGTAACAAATGTGGCAAATGTTTCACAGACCTTCTAGCATACTTTAAATTGGTTTACCAAGCAGATGTTAAACTTATTTTTTACCTTTTTTTTTTAATATCCAAAGTCAATTTCAGATTTGTGATCATTTAGCCAACACTAAAACTACAATACATTTTTTGAGATATCCCACATCGATGACAAAACAACTGTCAGTACTGAGTCAAGTGGTCAAGTGATTCACAAAAAATCTATTGTGAAACTGAAAAGTGAGTAATTTATTATCATTATTTTACTAAAAATGGATAGAAGGTTATAGTTGCGATATAAAAATGGTTTGCTTGCACTTTTGTAATCACATCATCACAGCCTCACAGCCTTCAGCTTGAATCTTGAAAGTATCTGAGGACAGATAATTTATCCTCTTGTCTTTTTGTTTATGAGGAACGATTCTTGAGCTTGGACCAGATCCTGTGAGGGCTGCGATGGTGACGTACCAAACCCCCAGGCACCCCCACCCCACCCAGAATTCTGCTGAACATATGCTGGGCTGGCACCGACTCTTCCAGTAAGAGATCCAGGAAAACGTGTTGTCCTTGGACACCGTTGCTACAGCAGTATCAGCGGGAAATACTTGAGACCGAGAGTAAGGAGATGAGGGGCCAGGAGCTGTTTCATCATATGATGAGAGAGACATCTCTGAACACTTACTCCATGTGTGATTTCATTTTGGTTCCAAATTCCAAACATCTGCCCTTGTTCTCTCACGTAGGATTCATCAGTGCAGTGTTCCTCATACAGGTTCTGGTCCTGCAAGATCTAATTATCTTTAGTCTTATTGTTGCTTTTAATTCATACTGATGTAATAAAAGCTATTATCAGGAATGAGGAGAACGTGTGTGTGTGTGTGTGTCTGAAATACAGTGTGTAAAAGGCCTACGGCTGCAGGAATTTTGCACCAGTCAGTGTAAGATTGATAAGACTTCCATAGTTAAATATTTACCTTCCTTTCCGGTCTCCTAAGCAATGCAGCAGAAACGTTTCAAGTGAAAAAAAGAAAAAAATAAGACGCAACGCACCTCTTCTTCCTGAGTGGCCCACTCAGGAGGAAGTGTGCAGGTCCGGAAACGTTCGATATGAGGAGAAGAAACCTCTTGAAAATAGCAGGCAGGGGTTAATGCCTTATTGAAAAAGATGCTATTTGAAACATTTTTAAATAGTAGCCCCAACTAACTGCAGACATGGTGCAAAGAACACGTATCAAGAGTATCTGGGCAAAAGCTGCTGTTCCTATGACAAAAAATAATGATGCGCAAGAAGGCATTTTTAAGACATATAATAATACTTAAAGATACAACACAGAAACCGGAATCAGCTGGGATTCAAAATCACTAACCTTTGCCTTTGATTGGACTTGTGATTGTGTTGTCTACCCAACAGCAGGGCCACATGGGAGTGTCTGTAATTAAGCAATAAATTAGCTTTATATGGAAGAAACTGGTTGCAATAACACGACACAGACTGTTGGGGGCGACAACCCCTCACATTAATCAACGAGGGGAGATGTACCTCAGACTATAAAAATGGCATTATATGTTTAGTTTTGTAGCTACCACATTGTCAGCTCCTTTAACACGCTGGGAAAAAACACGTGCAGAACTGGGACATAAAAGGGGGCCAAATTGTCCACGTTAGTGCCACTCAAACTTACTTTTTTTTTTATTTAACAGTTAAATAGCCTAAACGTCATGGAGACGCACGTAAAACTTTAAACGTCTCAAAAGTGTAGATTTTCCAAAGGGAAAAGCAGACTGTTAATACATGAAGAAATAATTATAGCTTACAGAAACCCGCTGTTACAAAAATCTCTTTACCTGACAATAACCAGAAGCACACCTAGTGGCAGCAGTAAGGTGGCACAGTAAGTTAGCAAAGTGGCAATTCACCTGGGTAACGTTAATTCTACTCAATTAAGCTTTAGTCGTATGAAATAATTTTCACAGAAACGCCTGGCCACACTATATGAATTATGTTCATTCACAATTCTTCATGGTTAACACTTACTTCACTACTCCAGTAAACGGCGCCAAACTCTACACGTGTGTTTTATCCACAAGCCTCAAGTAAGAGGCATGGCTTTGCCTCTGCCTAAAGTCTACAGACCACTATGCTGCTTTCAGGGCATCTCGTAACCTTCTAAATCCTGCAAAGACTTCCGCTTTAGAAGGGAAACAACAACAACTACTTCAGTAATAATAACAATAATAATAATAATCACTCAATTAAATGAGTTGCTGTAATCATTCATATGGCATAATAAAGCCTAATAATAGGCTTTGATCATAGTACTATATCGATTACTATTTAGATATGTACTACACTGCAAAGAGTCAATATATTACACATCAGCATACCCCAACCAAGGAGATCTATGGGTTCTTTGCCTTCCTGCAGACAAAATTTCCACTTATGATGAAGATGTTCGTTCAACAAAGCCACTGTTTCTACTGCGACATCATTGTAGAGTTTTCACAGAGCTACTCAAGTGGCAAAAAAACATAAATAAGAAAGCAAAGTAAAGTTTTAATAACAACATCTCGCCAATTGCTTTGTTTATTTTCACGATAATTCGGATTTTTCCGATAGCCCTTGAAGGCACTCTATATAGACTTCTTCCGCGTTTACCTGTACGGCTGAACAGGGTGTGTCAACAGATTGGTGTGTGTTACAGAAGTGAACGGGGCATAAACAAAGCTGTTTTTTTGTGTTTTTGTAACGTTATGGGTTAAAGGAGTGGGTTAAAGGGTGAAATAGAAGTGGGATCGGTAAAAGGAAATGAGCTGCAAAAGCTGACTAAGTTTAACCGAAGAAAAGGCACAAAAGTTTTGTTGTCGTTGAAGTTACTGAAGTTGTCTTGCTCTCCTCGTTCACAATGGGATGTTGTAGCAGCACAGAGGTAAGTCCGCTAAAACATGATGGGAGTTATGGCTGCTTTAAAACTTGAACGCTGTGTTCGCAGAGGAGTTTGAGACCGCGTGTGCAGCGACAACGTCACTTGTTCAGGAGTAGCAGCAGCAGCTTGTTTTACAGCAACATCACGGTGGTTTGTCGGGTAGTTTTTGGAGCAGCTGGGTAGCTAGGCCTACTGCAACGCAACAGTGCCAATACAACAGCATCAAGGATATCGGTGTCATCTTTTAACCACATATCATTTATGCCTTGGCAGAGCAAACGTGACTGGAAACCGCTGGAGCAGCGCTGCTGCACGGATATCCCATGGCTCATCATATTCACATTGTTTTGTATTGGGATGGTAAGTCTTAAGCTGAATGTGCGTATGGACACTGAATTGCTGTTGTGTCAGGGTCACCTTACTAAAGCTGGTTAAAACAGCAGCTCTGCAAAGCCCTACATTCACATTTATAGTATTTAGTTTAAACTTTTTTTAGAGAGTTCAACGTTATAGTAATTTTGGAGACTAGTCTGTGTAGCTGTTAAAATCCATTGTGTAAAAGTTTTTTTGTCCACCATATTAATATCACTAAATATCAGTTATATTGTATTGCAATACAGTGCAGCATTATCAAAATATCATAAAGTTGAATCAACACTTCGCTAAAACAGCTTCAACAAAAAGTGAACATTATAACCTTCATAGGATTTATTGCAGCCTTGTTGCATTAGACGGTATTACTTTTAGCTAGTTGTACCTAGAATAAACTGACAATTTTGTGTATTTATGCATGTCTTTCCATTACACGATTAATTGCTGTACTGACCAGTTGAGAAAATGCATAGAAATAAAGTTGGAGAACAGTGAAGTGGCACTTTATTGCAAACCATTGCTATCCTTTGCATAACAACCCTGCACCAAAGTTCAGGTTAAGTTGAAACGGATTCAGAGAGGTGCTGGTTCAACTTTATAGTAATTTTAGAGGCTATAGTTGGCTTGCTATTGAATGACATGGTGTTATACTGAGAGGTGTTCATAATACTCAGTCCAACCTGATATAAATAGGGTGGACAAATAATTGATACATAAACATTACCACCTTTTATGAAGGTAGGATTTACTGCTGGATTAGACTGCATTAGTATTAGTTACTGTAGGTTTACCATGTAACTTGTACCAAGGTGAAGGTCACACACATCTACATTTTTGATTGTGACAAATTAAAAATGATGTTTTCACTCTAGATTTTGTGGAAAACAAGCAATTGAAGATGAGTTCACGCTGCTATCTGATTATTAACATAATGAGTCATGTTGTCAGTCATGTTATCCTGCAGATAGTTAACATCATCTACTCTAACCTATGCCCTCTACAGGTGTGTATTTGTGGCTTTTCCATCGCCACAGGAGGTGCCTCCCGGTTTATCTCAGGATATGACAGTTATGGAAACACCTGTGGCCAGAATAACACCAAGATCGAGGGAGTGCCCCTCAGTGGCCGCAACATGAAAGAAAACAAGTTAGTCTGTTATGTTACAAATGCCTTAACTTGTGACATGGGGCTTTATTTACATTGAATTCATCTTTTTATTTTTATCAAAAGTGTTGCATCAAATCCCTGCTGTCCCTTTAAGTATTTTAACTTGCTCTGTTTTCCTGATTAGATCGCCTACAGTGCCAGAACATTTAGTTATAGATTCAAAACATTAAAGTACCCATGTTGCCCTCTGTTAGTGGCATAGGAAAAAAGCATTCAGCATTACTTTTGTGTATACATGGATTGCATCATGTGATCCTAATCTAATTTGCCACAAACAACCGGTTGCTACATTTTAAGCACTTCAGTTTACCTCCTGTTCTGTACTTTACACATTGCAAAAAAGCAGCAACATGATTCACTCTTACACAGAGGTTAGAGACAGACAAGTGTTGAAACACGTTCAAGAAAATGCTCTGCGTTTTCACTGCCCAGAACACCCTTTTCCTTGGCTTGGTCAAGCAACTTAATTTGCATAAATAGAAGAGAATAAGATGTCTTCAGTCTGAAGTTTAATGTAGATTAATATCACAGACACAGAGCTACAATGAGTCCTAGTCACACCGTGTTCTGCTACTGAAGGTCTTCACATAACTGAGTGAATAGCAAAGTTTAATATGATATCTCCCAAAGAAAGTCTAGCTTATTGTTATAGTCTCCGAATTCTCCTCTTGTTACAATTTATGTGAGAAGTCGTTGGTTATATCCCTCCTTTTGGGGAGTAGCTTTCCATCAGCATGCAGCCTGTAGGCCCAGTTTTACTGAAACAATGGGTCATGCTTTATTGATGGGCTGATTGCCCATGGAGGCTTTGAATAAAAGGCGTTTCTGCTACAAAGAAGGATCTGTGCGACAGAGTAGCAAATGTCACCGTCTTTCATTTTCTGCCCAGAGAGAACAGCCCCAACTAGCATAGTAATAACCAAATATACTGATATTTTGTTCAAGGAAAAAGTGTTAGAAATTCCAATTTTTCTTCCTTTCAGGTATGTTTTCTTTCTAGACCCTTGCAACCTTGACTTAGTTAACAGGAAGATCAAGTCCATTGCCCTGTGTGTCTCCAAATGTCCTGCTACTGAACTGACGACATACAGCGATTTAAAGCAGTTTGCTCTGAATAATGGTGAGAAAACTGCGCAAGCAAAACTGTTTTAGAAAAGATGTGGTTTTCTCTGTTTAACTGAGAGTTTCACTTTACTAATGTTTACAATATGTGTGTCCAAAAATGGAATATACATTGAATATCACCATAAATGCTTGCAGACTTTTTTCCCCCTGTTTTTTGTTAAGGTTTGGAATATTTCAGTGATACTGAACATGTGACCTAATTTTTGGTTTTCTTGCTGATAGGATCTGAACTCTGCTCCTATGATATTTCTCCTACAAGATACCCAAGCCATTCAGAAAGGTCCACTAAATGCCCCAAACTCCCTGTTCCACCAAGGTAATCAAGAATGTTCTTCAGGTTTTAATCAACTCTTGAACAAGAAAGATATTTATCACCGGACGAGACTACATTCTTACTGGCACCAGTTTCCCCTGTTTTTAATGCCATTTTTGTTATTGTTTGGAAAAGGGCACATCCAGTAAGGTGTGGTCAGGGGTTTAGTGAATCTAATGTAGGTACAATATGTTGAAACCGGGACAGCAAGTGACAGCGATGTGTATGTGTCTGGTGTTTTATACGGGGATTTGGTATCCTTTTTAGCACTGCTGTATTTTCCTTAAAAATTTAATAATTTTACTTTTTGAAAAAAGTTGACAGTGGAGACAGGATAGGGGTTAGGGAGATGGAGAGAGGGATAGCCTGGCCTACTTACACGAGTTCCAAAGTGGACCAAATAAATAACGTAGATATAGATAGTCTGCGATACTTCATAAATAAACCCATGTTC